GTACCTGCATCGGAAGGCTGCTGGTTTGAATCCTTGGGCTGGCAGAGTTAGTTCGCCATTGGGCCCTTGAGGAAGGCCATTAACTTTAATTGCTGCAGGGACTGGTGAACGCTGCTTTCTCAACCGTACATCGCTTTAGCTAAAAGTGTCAGATAAATAAATAAAATGTAAAAGTCTTTGTGCTCTCCTGCTATTTGTTAAACGTTATAAGATGTACAATGTCGTTTTCTGACAGTCACGCTATAATACTATGTCCTATGAATTGAGTCACACTTTGTATTAATGTAACTTAACTGTTCCTTTACAAATATACAATTATCTAAGATAATCATTTATCATTGTATTTTATTAGATAATAAATGTTTATAAATTAAATCACTTATTTGAATAGATGAAAATGATCTTCCTTTTTTGGATCTTAAAGAACAACCCAAGGCATTTTTTTGTGAGATGATGTGTAAAGAAAAATGTGACAAGAATCAAAGGGTTTTCAGCAGAAGTCTCTGTCTTTTTTAGTTGGGTGGGGGGTTCTGCTCATTTGCTATTCACATTAGCATTCTATTGTACGCGTATCTCCGTCAGGGCACAATATGGGGGCCAAAGGTAGAGACACCCCACTCCTGAGTGCGCGCAGGACCCCAGGTGGTAAAGTGTGTGTGTGTGTGTGAGGGGGGGGGGGCAGCTTCAGCTTCTGAATCTCTGATGATGCGCGGAAGGTTTACCGCACGGTCCCCTGGGGACACCCCCTCTCCCTGCCCCCCCCACACCCAGCCTTTGAAGCTCTTGTCCTCCTGGCTTCTCTTATCTCGGGAAAGGATTATTTTCCCTCCTCTTTCTTTCCTCTCTCCTTTTTCCTCCTCCCATCTCTTCCTCCCTCGCTCCAGGTTGCAGTTTTTCACCCCTCCCTACCTGACTCTCCCCGATTCCGCCCTCTCCTTTTTACCCCCCTTCCTGTGTCCTCGGCCACTCTACCTCTGCCACCCCTCCCTCCTGCCTCTCCATCATTTCGTTTCAGACACCCTTGGCGGCCTCTGCCAACATTGACCCTCTTCCCTGCCCTTTTCCTCCACCTCCCCCTCTTTCGCTCCCTCCAAGCACATGACGGGCCGGATAATTAATGAGCATCTTAAAACCTCTCTCTCTATTAGCTTTCCATTAGGGAACTGGGCAGGCCTGTCATTTTGGACAAAAACACACTGCTCCACCATTTTGATCCCCACATCAAAGCGCGATGCCTACTGTTTTCAGCTGAATACACTAATTGTGAGTTTCGTTCCGGGAGAAACTCCATCCTGAGAGGTTTAAAAACTGTTGGCAGCAGATAGCCAAAAATGGGAATGAAAGCAAAATTAGGGGGGCATAAAGCTGTATTTGGACAACATGTTTGGTGCACTAGTGAAAGGAAAAAAAAATCTATTTTGACCGCGAGGTGGCCAAGTTATCAGGATTTTTGATCACATCTGCTGTACGAATTTGCTTTAAGTGGGTAAATTTGGCAAAGTAAGTAATCAAGCTTAAAGCCCCGTTCTGGGTATTTTTTTAAAAAAAGACCTTTATCAGATGAAAAGGAATTTTAAAGTGGGATGGAAGATTTTTGCACTATGGGACAATAACAGAATCAGCAATTTTTAATAAAAGCGAAACCATGAAGGGATTCTTCCCTGTCTAAGGTATCGCATACATTATGGTGTGACTGTGCTATCGTTACAGGCTGTACTTGTCTTTTGATCCTCCCATTTTGATTAAAAAGGCAGAAACTTAATTTTACTGGGCTGTATGTCTGAATTATCATCTGATAAAAACAAAAAAGTCAGCTGTAAGCTTTTTCTTTCAGATCACCAAATACATGACATTCTCTGCAAGTGCAAACAACTTGCATCGATGGTGACTGCTTGTAATTTTTATAGGTTGAATTTTACGTCAAACATAAAAGCTGCCCGATGATTAATGGATTCTCTCTTTAGCTAAATTTTTGAGAAACCTAATATACATTTGTTGTGTTAATTGAACTGATTGCGAACACAGTCCAGTCCATGTTTTATGTCACTTTTAACACTTGCCGATTCATTTAATTTTACTATCCTTCCTGACAGTTGAATTGACAGTGATGGCTCTTATCTGAGTTTGTGATTGTGATTGTAGGAAGTTGCCTGGTTTAATCGGTTGGCTTATGATGCTTTTCCACGGACACCAAGAACTGAGCCGTACAGTAAAGACACGCCTTTCCATTGCAAATTACGAGAGCCGTACCTGCACTGATGTGGTGGTGTCACCATCATCTGATTGGTCGAAATGCAGGGCGATGCAGCTTTATTACTGTATTATTAGAAGGAAAAAAGGGCAGCTTTATTACTGTATATTATTCATTATTAGTAGTATTGCACATCGTGATGTATATTGATGCATTCCTGAAAACTCTGGACTTTCCAAAATTTCCAAACTCCTACTTAAAAAAGTACAATAAAACAATTGAAAGGAATGGATTCATAATGCAAATTTACACAAGTTAATGCTAGTTTTCTTAGCGATTGATGTTCTGTCGAAAAATACTACCTATCGAGACGTGCTATCGAGCCTTTCTGCGCATGTGCAATTCCACCGTTTTGGGATTAGGGTTAGGTTTTAGGGGTTAGGGTTAGGGTTAAGGTAAGGGTTTTGGGGGGTTAGGGTTATGGTTAGGGTAAGAGTTAGGGTTAGGGCTATCTATTAGCACTGCGGTAGCATTTTTCGACAAGGCAGCATATATCGACAGAACAATTGATGCTAACATAACACTGAGATTTGCACACAGTCACGCTAGCGGAAATGAGCACATAGTAAATCGTGACGTAGAGTGTGAACAGTAAATAAGCATCTCTTCGCTTTCACGGCACTGTCACTCTCACCTTTACTAAGGTGACCATTCTGTAGTGGAAACCGGGACCGCGCTGTAACTAACGTCTCTTCATGGTACAGCTCAGCTACTGCCTGATTCCTGTATGCCGGTGGAAAAATGCCATTACGTTTCAATGGTCATGTCGCAAATATAAATGGTGATTGGATATTATTACACTTCACAGGATTATTTTTCTAGGGTAATTTTTTTTGCCTGTTTGCTTTTGTGTGCATGTTTATGTTTCTTAGTAAACTTTGTTTGGGTTATTCTTTAGCCCAATGTGACTTTTTTCAACAGATTTACATGCTACTACCGGGTAGTGCAGTAGGGATGATCCCCGGGGACAGATTTCAGGGACTCCAACATCACCCATCCATTACCATACCTACTGCACTACCCGCTCCCAGGTACCTCTTCAATGATAACTGAAGCAGCCGTTGACCACAATCCTCCCCATTCCGGGAAAGGGGGGAAAAAAAAACCCATAATCCACCTCTGCGGAACCGGCGTTGGACACGCCACATACTGCGCGGCCACAATGCGCCAGGGTGCCGATGACCCGGTGGAAGCGGCGGCGTATTCTGCCGGCGATTCGCATCTGCCCTTTACAACGTCTTCCTCCTTTATCCGCTCAGAAAAGGCAACAGTCACATGTTTGTACTTAAAACACTCGGCAGCTGCTCTTTCTGTCTTGTTTCGGACACCCTTGGGGGCCCCTGCCAACATTGTTCCAAGGACATAAACACAGGCGAGCTTCATGCGCCCCCCCACCCCCCCTCCCCGTAATCATTATGGAGGGGGGAGTGGTCCTCAGCTGAATGCCGTCTTTGTGAGTCTCTGGGGGCACGGCTGCCTCTTTGTGTGCCTCAGACTCTTCTCCCATAGCTTGCCTCCTGTGACAGATGTCTTGCAGGCCGCTAAATAAACAGGTAAAATGGTCAGTTGGCGCGTCGCTCATAACTTGACGTAACGTTGTGTGGCTCCTCTAAGTTCCTATTACTCGGCATAACTGTAGTTTTTTTTTTTTTGTCCTTCCATAACGAGGAGACGTTTTCTGGTCTGTCAACACCGCAGAGTGACAGGAGAAGTCCTTCCTTTGTGAATGCAGCCTCTCGTCAGCGATAAGGACACTTGGCGTCAGTGATTTTGGCTTTTTTTTTTTGTCGTTGGGGGAGGGAGGGACATTTCAAGCATGAGATCCTTTAAATGCAGCGAGGGCCCTGCTGCAAATTTGTCTATCCGCCGACTTCTTCAAAGCGCAGGAAGTGTGTCGAAAAGCCAGGCCACTTTTTTTTTTTTTTCTTTCCTTTTCCCAGCAATACGGGCAGACGGCAATAATAACAAGCTCATCTGTGAGACTGTAGCTGGGAAGTTCAAAGGGGTGCCTGGTTTCTTCTGGTACAACATGTGATGATACGTTCAGGATGTGGAAACCACTGTTCAACCAGGAATGTGCTGGGAGGTCTGTGCCATGTGGATGCCTTGGTGCCTGAGTTCACTGGAGGTCCCTCTGGCCTTCACATTAAAGCTCTCAAAATACTGCCAACCCAGCTATCCTGGATTAAATCCACATCGTAACATTATTATAATATTACGTAATTTGTGTATCTATCTCCATGCACTCCATGCATCTCTAAATACTCACCCTTTTCTCCATCATTTAGGTTTAATTAATTGTTTTCGAAGATTCATTTGAATATTGTGTAGAGGTTTAAGCCAGCCCGTCTGGGAACACAGACTACGTAAGTGTCACTTGGCCTGTACATTCAGCCTACAGACCGTCATGGTCATTGCACCTCCCATCCCATTCCACGTCCCAGGAGCTTTTACTGTTCTGTCTTTCCAGTATGTTTCAGTCTGACAAAGTTCTCCAGGGGCTCCTCTTTTGAAGTTCTGCTCCCTGTATTTTTATGACCAGCAGCAGCTCAACGCCGATTAGGGTTTTTCAGGGCGGCCATGGAAGGAGAGAGGGGGATGGGAGGAACTCTCCCGCCCCCCCCCCCACCACTCCTCCCCACCCCCACATGTCCTCGCTCCCCTCTGGGCTTAAATACCCAGAACAACCATGCGTACAGATAAACCATTAGCTGCCTTTTAAACGAAGAAATAGCGTTTGCATCTGAGCGTGCTCCTGGCAGAAGTGGTGCAGTCATGCCTAAGTCTATGCCAGTGATTATATCTGCTGACACTGGGAGCGCTGGTTCTTACTAATGGGGCATTGCCGGTACCCATACGAGTGCTCAGAGAATACAAGCCTGCAGCTGCAGGTGGTCGAGAAGATCTTTGTCAGCAACCAGAGCCTAAACATTCAGTCTCGGGACATATTGTGCTTGTTGTTCGACGAAGTCCCGTTTATCGGTAGAATCTTTCTCCCGCATAATTCTTTGAAACTTTGAAACGTCATTAACTGTTATTATATATGTGTTTATTTGTTGTGGATGTATTTGACAATTAGAGAGATTTCTTAAAGTTAACAACGGGACATGTTACGTGCGTGCGATGATCGAGGAAGAAAGTCGCGATTTCATCACTTGCAACCACGGGCGTCGTTTGGTCCGATCACTCGGGGCTATAGCCCCTGGTATTTTAGCCCCGGTGCCAATCATTCTCCTTCAAAAACAAAAAAGTCAAGCCCCAAGTAAACTTGACTTAGCCTCTGATCTTTTCAATAGCTAGAAATTCCCCTGCTTGCAACCCTTACCATCCATCCATCTATCCATCCAAACATCTTATTAAAGGTTATTAAGTTGATACATTAAAAGGAAATAAATCTATATGTAATAATAAAAGTTAAATGTTTATTTTGGGTGTCATTAATTATAATTACCACCGCCTATAAATAAACAGGGACTCCGTGTTTGTTGGTCATATTTATTTTACCATTTGCGTTAAAAAGAAACCCGTTTAACATTAATTCGCTGCCTAGCCTGCTGCCTCCAGCCTCCTGCCTCCACGCACAGCCGCTCCGCTGGCTGCAGATGGCGCGCGCTAACGGCCCCTTTTTTATTCTCACAATCCGAGGGCGTCATTCATGCGATGCTCCGGTCCGAAGCCGGCCGCCCGCGAGTGGACTAATCCGTCCGAGGTGTCAATCATGTCGGTGCCGCGGTTGAAGTGTGGGTTTTGGTAACCGCCTCTTTCTGCTGGGGAGCGAGAGGAGATCCGAGCAGGGAATACTTGCCTAAGACCAAAGACCGCAGGGTACTATCGTTTACGGTCCTTTCCGAGATTGCGTGCCCGCAGACTAATACTAACGGGTATCTGGATTACAAAATATAAAAATAACAAAGCAGCTAACAAATGCAGAAAAATGGGTAAACTTCATTCGAAACATGGTGAGTCTTACAATTAAACTATTATTTTATTATATCGTAAAGAACTAAGAAAATGTTCCTAAATGCGCTAATTCTTACGTATTTTGTTCTCGTTTATTTATAACACTGAACCCGAAAGCTGCCGTTTGTAAGCCAAGGGAGAGCCCCGAAGGTGAGTACTTGGAGGAAAAAGTGCTGTTAAACGTGGTTCCCGTTACTTTGAAAACTATTTCCTTTGAAAAGATTGTCTTTGCAGCTTCGTGATTCTCAGCAAGTATGAGCGTCTATGGAGCAATTTAGCTGGAAGTCGCTGCGCTTTTAATTAGCTTCGTTAATGGGGTGTCTCCTTTGTGCTTTTAGGTGACAGTTTCGTAGTTAATGCCTGTTTGGCCAGAAAAGGAATCGACGAATGGATGGTTAAACAGAAGTACTATTGCACCGGCTCGCCGCTGGAGCAACGGGATTGCGAGCAGAAAGCCAGCAGCAGAGCTCCGCCGCGGGTAAGGCAGCGAGGCGCGGCGCGCTTACAGAGCAGCCCGCACTGCGCGGCTTTTGGCGTGTTACACTCTAACTTCTCACTGTCCGCTCAGACGTGCCAGTTTTTGTGTGAAGTTGCACGCAACATCTGAGACTCCCTATTTATGGGACTACGCCGAACAGCCCCGTAAATATTTACCGTCGTAGTTCTGTAGTTTTAAGGTTTAAATACTCATTTAGTGATCGATAGTTTTTCTCCTTAAATGATTGGACATATCGCTCCTGCCCTTAGAAAAGCAGAACACAGGCATTTAAAGATTTTATTTGTCGGGGAGTAGTCTGAATTGAATTTTATTTTCACGTTTTTCAATGAGTAAGTTTAATTGCTATATTTCAATTTTTATGGTTTTATGGAATATTTGACTTGTGGCGTTGATAACGTTTAGGCTACGGAAGACGGTGGGTTAATTAATGTAGGACTTGGTTTCAAGATCGAAGCCGTGTTTGCCCCTTTTATTCAATAATTGGAGAAAAAAAAAATATATTAAAAAAAAAAAACAATAGCAATGACAAATATTAGACCAGTCAACTTGTCAGGTATCCTGTACTCAGGACGATCGAGAAGCACACAAATGGATAATGTATTTGGTCATTTTTATTTTTTAAAGTAGGTTTTGTTGTCCTCAAATAAACAACTGAATAATAGTTTAAGACCATTCATGGTGTGTACTCGGCAGCCCCTTGGGGTGGAGGGTGTATTTGACATTCAGCAAACACGAATGTTGGCGGACCTCCCCCCCCCCTCCTCACTTCAGTTGCTGCGAGTGAAGCGTTCATACGCGGCTTTAGTTTCTCGGCTGATGACTGAGACTTTGAAATGCACGCCATGAAAAGTTTTCCAAATGGTTCGCTGTTTGTGAAAGATTTACTGGAAATGAGATGAAGCAGATATTTGTGTTTTTCTTGAGAATGCTTAGAGGGGCAAAATAAACCTGATAATGGAGGCTAGGTGGCAGATAGAAGTTGCTAGATACATACATTTGGTGAAAAATGCCTGTTTTTGAAAGATCATTAAAATCCCTTTTGCTCTGGAGAGGAGTCTCTCTTTACCCTGGTGATTCTGTGATCCAAGTTGTTTTTCAAAAGCATATGATTTTACTTGTGCTGGTAAAAGACTTGTGATACAATGATTGGGTCCAAAAGTTTTGGATCTCCAAATAGTTGCTGTTGAGCTGCAACTTTATGTGCCATGTTACAGGTACGAAAGTACAAGTACATTGAAATTCTTGCTCTGTTCCCTCGGTCAGGATCTCGGCGCTCTGGCAGCCTGCCAGCGAATAGGATTTTCGGAATGAATGGCAATAGCAAGGTGGTCTCTGTGTCTGTTGCCCTGTGAAACTGCTGGAATAATGTTGTCTAGTAAAAGCCACCTTCAGGAACTGCTTTTTTTTTGTGGGATGGGGGGGTTCTTGGCAATGGCTTCCCGAAGAGGGTTTCAGGAGGACATTAGCGATCCAATCTCTGCGGATACCCCCCCCCCCCCCCCCTTGAGTGACGGAAAGCTGAGATGTGCATCCAGCACTGGAGGTCCGTAGCAGACAGTAATGCACTTATATGGTTTTGTCTGCCTTTGAGATCTACCAAAATGTTGCAGCCATATCTCATATATCCCTCTGATATATTAGATCCTAATCTGAATCTATCTCATATTTCTATGCATGTTTGCAGTGTTATCATCCATATCTGTCCATGTACAAATACCTGTCTACTCTGGAATGACATTTCTAGAAGAACATCCTGTGCTCTGCGCTGTAAATATGCGGTGTGGTCAGCATAGTGGGTAAGGAGTTGGATTTCTGAACAAAGCTGCTGTAAATGCCAAAGGAATGGCTGTTGAACCATTTGAGAGAGGAAGTTGACTAGAAAGGCCCAGCGAAAATATGCACCGTGTGAGCTACTGTATGCGGGTCGGTTTAGCCGGACGGCTGCTAAGTACTGGCGTTAATCACCGTGAAGTTTCGAGTGGCTTGGATCTCAGTAGCGGTTTTTGTGACAGATGCTGTTGCATGGCTGCCGGCACATAAACGCCTTGATGATTTTAATGTACAAAGACCAAGTGCTTCAGAAATAACTACTGCAGCATTTTCTTTTGGTTCCTGGAGTTGATCAAACAAAAAAAAATAATAAAAAATCATCTGAGAACACGTTGTTGTTCTGTGGTGAATAAATCTGCCTTTTGCTTATATTTTCCCCCAAACTGTTAACTGGAAACCCTGCTGAAAACTGTGGGCAATTTGGATCCTTGAGAGCCCTTTGTTATGAATAATTGACTTTATGAATGTGATTCCTCTGTGATGTGGATGAATAAAATGAGATAAAAAGTTCCAAATATTTATTGGAACACAAGTTGGCTGCGTTTGTTTTTGTTTGAACAAAAGACTTGTTTGAACATAAGAAGCCTGAATGATTAATGCACTTCTCTTAGAAATGGCCTGGTGTTATGAGTGCCTGTGGTAGATTTGGGGTTGTTGTACCCAATATGATGTATTAAGTGCTTTGGGGCACCTCTAAAGAAACAGGGCTGAAGGAACTTAAAGATGTGCAGAACGAGGTGGACTGACGGTCTTTGAGTTGAATGGCATTCCATGTCAGATTTGTGATTCAGAGCGAGGAGTGTTAATTTTGAACCTAGGCGGTGATTTATGTTTGCCATATGGGAACTTTGTTGGAGAAGTTGAGGGGAAGAGTACAAAATGTTTCTTTGACTGCAATTTATGCAAGCTTCCTCTGGAATGATGGAGTTTTACCTTATGGATGGAGTGGGCATGTTCCATGACGTTTATCTACTTTTAGTTTGACACTGTTTTGGTGCTGTGTTTAATAGAAAGATGATGCTTTTTCATAATGTAATAACTGCATTTCTATAGTTCTTCATTTTTTGCCCGATTTCTGATGGTGGAATTTTGAAATTCTTAATCGTATCTGTTTTGTGATGCAATGACATACAATGAGATGCAGGTATCGGTTGTTTGACCGGCAGTTGTTGATTGTGGGCTCTCTGTTGGCAGTTCTCTTCAATTGAACCAAAGTCTTGCCATTTTCAACCGTTGCCCCCTCCCTTTTTCCCCTTTTTCCCCAGAAGGATCGGCCCACTTTACTATGCATTGCGATTCTCCAAACTGGTTGGCTTGCACAAGCTCATCCCAGCACAACAGTCCTGTCACATGTGCCCAAATCACAGTTTACAGTTTCCGTACGGCATTTGTCGAATGCTTTGGCCTGATATCACTACTTTGTACAAGTTAGGCCTGAAACCTGCTTAAACACCTGGGAGGCTTTCACTGCTCATTTATTTATATTTGTTGTCATTTATTCATTAATTTTGAAAATTGTTTTCTTGTCCTGCATTGAAGTAGATCTTATCCTTAAGGCAAGGAATTGCTAATTAGCCACATCCATCTATCGAGACTTAATCTGACAGATCTTTTTAAGCTTTTCTTTGCACTACCCCACCCCGAACCCCCCCACCCCCCAACTCCATCTGCTTCTTGCATTTAGCCTGTAGCCCTGCAAGCAGTCACTGCAAGCCAGGCCGAATGGGAGCAGGTCGATGTGGTGAAATCTGAACTGCTTGCGCCTCTCGCTCACTCTGAGGCCCACAGCAGCCTTGTTGGGGGGTGGTGGTGGTTGCAGGGGGGGCTTCTGGATGAGGTACCCCCAGCGTCTCCTCTGCCATGGTCAGCAGCGCTGGGGAGTCGCAGGTGGAGGCTGTACCGCTCTGGTCGTACACCACAGGGGTCAGAAACCAGCGACAGGCTCTTTAACGATTTCCATATGCATTCTGGGGCTCTGCTGGGTGTCTGCTCCTTCCCCAGCTTTGCCTCCATCTGTTTCCCCAAAGCGCAGGCAGCTGTCAGTGTGCTGAATGCGCTTCAGGCACATTCTGCTGTGGCTTCTGAGAACCTCTTGACAGTTCCTGGTGCAGTGCTCCTCGTCGTTCCTCTTTTACGTGCTGTATCAGACTTTCTGTCTTCCACAGTCTTGTTTAAAGATTAAGTCTTGGCTCTTTTTAGAACTTCGGAGGAATTTGTATTTGTGCGTATGTGTGTGTATGTGTATACAAGATTAAGTTGCCAGAGAATATCTGTACAAGCCTTAAGATAAACTACTTCTGTTGTGAAAACACATTTCTTAATTTTTGTGTGTAACTGTTTTGCCTCGTTTGATATACTGTGTGAGAATATAATCTTTTTTTCCCCTTTTGAATAAGTAGGCTTCTCACATTTGTTAAGACCTCCTTGGGTGGAAACACCGGCACAGTTTGAGGCCCGGCGTCTTTGCCCGGCTTTCCGCTCTCCTGTTGCCCTTCGCCAGAGTGGCTTGATGGATTCTTTGAGATGATGAACATGGTTTAGATGTTCTTTAAAATTCTTTTCACCCGCTGAACTCTCACCTCCCAGACTTCAAACACCCCCAGCCCTGATGCTAGCTTCTGTCTTTGGAGTACTCAGTGAATCATCACCTTCACTGATCTGTTCACTATTTTCTCCCCCACCCTCTCAAGTTTATCATTTTATAAGTGTTCAGCTTCCTTATCTCTCAAGGAAATTCAACTCTACACTTAACTTTTAAAGTGAACCTCAGTCAAATGCTTTTTATTTCAAGGATACATTTCACTTCCGTTTCAGTCGGATGTGGAAAAATATTTCCTTTCATAGATGTCTGAGAAATGTATATTTTATTACTTGCACACTTCTGTTTGTCTCGTACTCCTAATACAGTTACTTTTTCCACCATACGAAAAATGATCAAATATTTATGCCATTTGTGGTCTAACTTGACAGGTATACACAAGACCTAGTGGGTTGCAGTCAGACGGAGCCACACCAGGAATGTGCCGTCCAGCTATCAGTTTATAGGCTGTATGGGCTAAAATTGGTGGAATTTGTACTAGAGCATACATTGTCTATATTGTATAATGATTTGTCTTTGTGTGTGGAAGTTGGTTTTTAAAACTCTTCTT